TCTGTGGTTCACACATGCACAGAGAATATCCCTGCAAAGTTTCTGCCCTCCGTGTCATCTGTTTCCCGAGATCGCTTTTTCTCGAAAAAATTTACATATTTTTTTAAGGCGTCCGTGCGCATCACTCAGGTGTACGCGAGGGCTGATATTAAAACGTGGTGTAGGCACATACTTCCGAAGTTTCAGCCTTCTAGCTTTTCTGGTTCTCGAGTTGAAAGTGAGCGACAAAAACTAAGACACAGACACACAAATACGCAGCCTGTTGCCAATATGTGTTTTTGCATTTGCATATGTGCAAAAACGCATAAATACAAGTAATGATGTATGCTGCTGCGTTGGGCGTTTTATTTAATAAGGCGCTGGTTCACGCTGCTCGGGCGCACGGTTGTTTCGGTTTGTTTTGCGCTGTGCAGTTCAGAAGATAGATTCAAGTTCTTCGTCTGACGCTGTGTGTTCGCGGGGTCGTCGTCCTTTTGGGTTTCGCTCTTAGTTTACAATATGTGAGCCTGAACTTGAGCGCGAGCTCAAGGACCACTGCATACAGCAAAGTCCGGGAGCTGGTTTTGGGCACTGCGCGACTTACTGGATCCCCGAAGTTTCCCCATTTTCAACTGCTGTATCAGCAGTAGTCTGACTTTAACTGTAAACTTGTACATCATCGGCCGACATATCAGGCGCTGCTTTGGAAGGTGGCTGGGGTAGCCCGCTTGTTACTTTGCCCTGTTATTTTCTGTAGCGTGTAAGTAAATGCTGAGAAGACGAAAGTCTGAAATATCCCTTAACATGCACATATTCGCTAAACAGTTCTGCAGTCAAGTTTTGGGAGCTTTTTTTGGCAAAAATTCGTACTTTTCATGAACGGAGGGCATTACGGCTTTCCGTTCGAAGGATCACGCAAATTCACTGTTCGTCCAACCCTCTTACTGAGTTCTCTAATTACTATCGCTCAGAAAAATTTGGGACTCTGTTATACCCTGCTGAGTTAGAGCTTTCAAAATTTTTCTGGTGGCGGCGAAAGCTGGAAACCGTTGTACTGAGGAAGTTAATGCATCGAAGACATATTTTTTGGGATGTTTTTCGAATTTTTTATGCGTTTTTCTGCAGTGTAATAGCAGTACAAAACGCATATTGTCACAGGGCTATTTGTGCGTGTGTGTCTGCGGGTTTTGTCCCGCACTTTCAACTTGGCAACCACAAAAGCTAGGAATCTGAAAATTTACGAGGACGTTTCCCTTCCACGTGTGACCCCGCAAATTTAAATTCAGCCTTCCCCTACCCGCAGGTAACATGTACTGTCCCTTAGAATTTTTGGAGGGTAAATTATCTCAGAAACCACGAAATCTAGGAGGCCGTGGTTTTAGGGTAATGGCCCCATGCCCACGCACGATCTTGCAAATTCAAATTCAGCGTTCTTGCACGCTCAGATTTCACATACAGCTTCATGAAAGTGTCGGCGGGAAAATTATTATCTCGGGAATCACGAAAGTTGGGAATCTAAAATTTTAGGGTGATGTTTCCTGTCAACGTGCGACCCCCGCAAATTTGGATTCAGCCTTCATGTACTCTGGGTACCATGTACAGCTCCGTGATTGTAGGGCAATTATTATCTCGGGAACCACGAGATCCAAGAAGCCGAAATTTTATCGTGGCATCCCCTGCCCACGTACAGCTCCGCAAATTTTAAATTCCCCGTGGAATTTTTAGCAAAAAAATCATTATCTTGGCAACAGAAGAGTTTGGGGCTAAAAATTTCAGGAGAACTTTTCCTGCCTAAGCAGGGGGCTTTAAAAATTCGAATTCAGTTTCTAAGTATGCCGATGTCTCAAGTACGACCACCTGAAAGTTTTGTCTCAAAGATCGTTCGAAAGCCAGAGGAATTAGGAGGTTGAAATTCGGAAGGATATTCACCCTTCGAGGTTTCAAATCGTTCTTTCATGTTCCGATGCGTGAAATTTTTAACTGTTTCTCAACG